AAGGGTTAGGACCCTTATACCAGCCAGCAACCACAAGAAAAAAAAAAATTTTTTCTTTGTCCTTCCTGTATTTTCCAAATTTTCTTCCATAAGCATCTATTGCTTTTATTATAGGGGAAAAAGATATCTTCTCTAAGGAAAGTAGATGACAGGTGCCTGAGTATGGCAGAGGTAAAACTGTAAGAACAAACTGATGAAATATAACTGGATCAGGATTCAAAACTAATTATGAGGTCTAGGCTCTCTGTAACAAGAATGGTATAAGTGTAAGAAGTTTGGGAATTTGGCTATTCACACTAAAATGTGAATGACTGATAGGGAAAACCTTCACATATACAAAGTATCTTTCTATAAAAGAAAAAGAAGAAAGCATTTTAATCCAAACAAGATTAAAAAAAATTTTGTCCAAAGAAGTTTCTATTTGAGAGAGTGGCTCTGTGTATGAGGAGGTGATGGGGGGTGGGGGTGGGGGGTAGGGAGGGAAGCAGCTTCCCTTCAGTACGTTATTCCCACCTAGTTCTCAAAGCTTGCTGATCTCTTGGAAACAACACCAGTGGTTAGGAGCCACACTCTATTTTAATCTGGGCAAGTTACTTAATTGCTCTACGTCTTAGTATTCTTATCATAGAATGCAGATTTCAACCACTTCAGTGGTTTCATATCAGGAGTAAATGAAAATGTACATGAAGGGCTTAGTACAATGTCTGGCATATAGTAAATGCTCAATACATGGAATATGATGTTATATTTTATGTCATTTCATTGACAATCAGAAACAGGGTGGCAGACTTAGGGTGAATAAATCAGGGCAAAGGCTGATTGCACTTAGAAACAGAAATGGTATACATATCTTAGCAATCTAATGTCAACTCAGTCATCACTGTGGGAAACATTTTAATAATATGTATGAATGACTAATCTAAATTAAGGTGAAAACCTTAGCTATTGCCTACCCACTTACAAGTTACTTAGTTGTGATTAATACAATATTTATAAGATACTATAATATATTTAGAAAGCCAATAATAATAAAATAAAAGAACTTAAAAACAAGTCCCTAAGAGAAACACAATCACTTTACAGAATATGAAATACCCCTTTGGGAAAAAAGGATTTACAATCCTTTGAAGAAACGATGAGAATGTAACTGCAGAAATGAGAACTACAGTCAAGAAGCCGCATTTGAGGAAGGATTTATTTGTTGGACATCTACAATCTCTTTCTAGAAGATGTGCTTTTATCACTCTACCTCCTGCTTGAAACAAAGGCTTCAACTTGACAATGCAAATTCTCCAGAATAAGAGAGAGAACAGCAGCAAATCGGGAAAAATAGAAGGAACAAGAGCAGTGCTTTCTTTTCAACCCAGTTTTAAAACTAGTACAAGTCTCATTTGAACTTGAGAGTGTTTCCTTTGTCCTTTCTGACATTACTGGAGGAGGAACGCCCCAGGCCTCCTATCTCTGTGCTGGACGCCTACTTTAATGATGATATATGGGGGTCCTTTCCCCTCAGCTGTGCTGGGGGGGGGGGGGGGAAAA